AGGGTGAAAGCAGTGCGTGACTGGCCAACACCAGACAATGTGGTAGAGTTTAGAAGTTTCTTGGGACTCAGTACTTATTATCGGAAGTTTGTGAAGGACTTTGCAACTATAGCTGCTCACTACATGATTTAACTAAAAAATACCAGAAGTTTGAATGGACAGTTTCTTGCCAGCATGCTTTCAAGACATTGAAGGAAAAATTGGCCTCAGCTCCCATTTAAAGCTTCCAACTCCCTCACTGCCGTACATACTGGATTGTGATGCTAGTAATGTCGGAATTGGAGGAGTGTTGTCTCAGAAAGTGGGTGAAAACGAACATGTGGTGGCCTACTTCACTAGGATTTTGAGTAGATCAGAGAGGAACTACTGTGTAACACGGAGGGAACTCCTTGCTATAGTAAAGAGTCTGACATATTTCCACCCTTACCTCAATGGGTCTAGGTTTACCATTAGCACAGACCATGCTGCATTACACTGGTTAAGATCATTAAAGAACCCAGAGGGACAACTGGCACATTGGATCGGAAAAATAGACCAGTATAATTATAATATTGAATATAGAAAAGGATAATCCCATGATAATGCTGTTGGACCGAAGACCCTGCAAAAATGACTGCAGACATTGCTGCAAAAGAGAGGTTGAACTAACCAGGTGCCATCAAGCTGAAGTCAAGCCGACTGAAAGACTTGATGATGGTGAAGTGGAACCAAATATAGAAATTGAAGCAGAACAGGAGAAAGACCAAGATTTGAAGCCAATAATTGATTTTCTACAAGCAAGTGTTTTGCACCCTGCTTGGGAGAAGGTGTCTAGCTTACGCCCTGTGACAAATAACTATTGGGCACAATGGGATCAGTTGAAGTTTGAAGATGGTATTCTTGTCTGGAAATGGGAAAGTGACGACCTGGCAAACAGTTATACAGAGAAAGTTATGGGAAGTTGTGCTGCGTCAATCCCATGATAGTTTAACAGGAGTTAAGAAGACATTGAGTCACCTATGACAGAGATTTTACTGGATAGGTATGAGGCAAGATGTGGAAGAATGGTGCAGGACATGCAGTATATGTTGTGCTAAAAGGAGACCCAAGCATAAGGGACATGCTCCAATGAAGTTATATCAAGTTGGCACACCAATGGAAAGAGTAGCCATTGACATTGCTGGTCCTTTGCCCCAAACTCGTCCTGGAAACAGGTACATTTGTGTGGCGATGGATTATTTCACCAAGTGGCCTGAGGCATATGCAATACTAAATCAGGAAGCTACAACTGTAGCTTTGGTATTAGTAATCTCTTCTTCAGATTTGGTATGCCATACGAACTGCATTAAGATCAAGGCCGTAACTTTGAATCAGCTGTGTTCCATGAATGCTGCAAGTTGTTTGGTATATGAAAGACCAGGACAACGCCGCTTCACCCACAGTCTGATGGGATGGTAGAAAAGTACAATTGGGCACTGGGACTGGAATTGGCAAAGTTTTGTAAAAGCCGCCAAGATGACTGGGATGTCTTACTCCCTCCACTATTGATGGCCTATAGGAGAGCAGAGCATGAAACCACTGGATACACTCCAGCAAAGTTGATGTTTGGTCGGGAACTTCGGTTGCCAGTGGATCTGATAACAGGATGACCACCTTATGAAGAGTTGCCTGAGAATGTGTCAGAGTTTGTGAAAGTGTTATCTGAAAGGATGGATGATATTCACCATCAAGTGTATTCAAACTTGAAAACGTCTGGTGATTCCATGAAGCTATCTTATGATAAGAGATCTACTGAAGTCAGCTTTGTACCAGGAGACAAGGTGTGGTTGTATAATCCCAGGAAGACCAATCATATGGGCCTTCCCATGGAGAAGACAACTTAGGAGACTTCCCTTTATAGTGGATTGTCTCTCAGACGTGACTTTCTGGATAAAATGTGCTGAGCGAGGTAAGCCAAAAGTGGTGCATGCCAACAGGCTTTGGCGTTATCATGGTCCAGGACATTTCAGTTGGAACGAAGTGAACAACAGAACAAATGACGCTACTGAAGTCAAAGAAAAAACTCTGCTCAGTTTTGAGAAGGGAAACAGTGAAGCCTTTGATGAAGTTACTACCACTGATGTGACTGTTACCGATGATAGGACATTTCCTGATGAAGCAGATGAACCCCACATGAAGCAGAAGTTAACGAGACGGAGACCAGTAAGGAAGAAGATACGTCCTGTAAAATTTAGAGACTTTGTTGAATTGTAATTTTGTGTTTGTAAATTCC